ATACTGATTTATACTCACTTGCCAATGTAGCGAGGGCAACTTTGCCTATTAAGGCAGTACTATATGAAATTACAACCCGCTTCGCGGAAGAGGCCATTGCTAATTGAAGCACAGCCAAAGCGACCAGAATCGCCAAAAGGGCGGAGGCGGCAGCAGCAGCTAATCCCGCCACCCACACAGCCACTGGAAATAAAAGAGAAATCCCGTCATAATTGTATTGCATTTCAATGAAATCCCATATTCACACTGAGACTTTTCGCCGTGAGAATTTTTAGCACTGCATAATCCTAATTCGACCTTTTCTACATAATACGCTTTTCGTCATAACATAACGGAAAAATGAAAATGAGAAGATAATTAATCGCGGAAATTTTATTTAAACAAGTCACATAATATATAAATTTTTATATATAAATATTGTTATAAAATTAAATAAAGAGGTGGAACGTAGATAGTCTTTGCGATTTTAAACTTTCAAATATTAAAATTAAATTTAAAATATTATAAATTAAATTTTGATTTAATGTTCCGTTTAATTTTAGTTAGTTAAAAATTTCACATTTCATTTCATATTTTTATTTAAATACTTAATTTAGAAATATTAAGAGTATACAAAAATTCATTAAAAATACGCTTATACAATTTATATTTACATTTATTGTATTGAATGTTAATCATGAAATTGGTTCTGTTAATTTTGCACGTGTAACATTTTATGATTAGCGTTATTCAGGATTTCGTGAAATATAACTGTTATTCTATTATATCAGAATTACAATTAGACCATAAAGATATTGTGAAAAGATATTGTAAAAAAAAGATATTTTGAAAAGGTATTGTGAGAAAGAAGATATTGTTAGATGGACAAAGGGTAGCATTAAAAGTATCGGTATTTTTTATATCATACATAAGACAAACTCACACACTGGATGAAACCTGGAGATGCTTTGGCCGCACCACTCCCGTCCGTAAAGAAGAAGTTTACATTGTCTCCATGGTCCGAAGTAACCATTCTCTGCGGCAGTACCAGCTATAACAATACAAATGGAAAAAAATCAGATGATAAAAATTGTATTTCCTTCAACACGGCAAATATAGTAAAAATATCTACGTGACTTTATCTGCGATTTTATTCAAATAAATTAATGATTAATAAAATAATGTGACCTCTATCGAACTTTATTCTCGAATGCATAATTTAATACGTCAATTTAACTCGACCACCATTTGAATTGTAAATTATAGAGAAACTAGTTTGTCGTATTAACATGTGATCATTCCTGTAGACAATAGTGGTGGACATATTAGTCTTCTAATCATGTTTGGATTTGGGTTCAAAAATATATCTTGAATTGCAATTTGAATAACAATAGAAAGATAGAGATAATTATAATACCGTTTTAATAATGTGTTTTGTATGTGTTTGTGAAATTTATTGTACATGCAATATTAAATTTTGATTGATATTAATTTGACTTACATTATAATGCTTGGATCAAAGTTATCAATGTCTTTTCTTATGAGACTTATTATCACTTATTAGTAATATATTGTAATTGCGAATTGAATTGATTTCAAATCGAAAAACAAGAAAAATCGTAAAACTCTTTATTAATATAATTGTTAACCTTATTAATTTTGTATTTCAAAAAATACATTTTTAAAAATACAAAATGAAAATTCATTTCTATGAAAATATATGTATATCTTTCAAAATTTATTTAATTTAAAAACTATCGTATATACAATGAATAAAATAATTATTTTCCAGATATTACATTTCACGGATATTTCTTGCAATTTTAGCTAATTTATTTATTTGCAGTTATGTTATAATACGAGATAGTAATCGCAATAAAATATTGCTAGTATATTACTTGTTCAAACTACAAAGTGAGGCAAATTTATTATTTATTTATTATTTGCTGCTTACAAAATCGTTTATCTTCGTAACAAAATTACATTGCACATTTTGTGCATTATTATATATGATATAATACATATATAAAATATATTTATTGTTCTATTTTAAGTTGTTGCTGGTTTCTGGTTTTAGATTAACAGAATACATTTATTAATCTTAACATTTGAGATTTGACTTGAATCATTTATAATAAATTAATAAATTAAAAGCTAATTATCAAATATTATAAAAGTTTTAAAAGTATATCTTATCAAATCTAACAGGAAAAAAATTATACATAAAAATTATAAATTTATTACTTTTTTAAAAATTACATAATTATTTTATAATTATATTATAAATATCTTAAAAAAAAGAAACGAATAAAGAGTATGTGCGCAAAAATCATTTTTCTAAATTACTTTAAACGCTTCAGTAATTTGTGATTTTTATATTTTACAAATTAAGACTCCTCTTACACCTTCTCGTTGTTAAACATCGTATCTGAATGAATCTAAAATTATTCCTTTCATTTTAATATGAGATACAACCTCGTATGGTCTCGAGATATGCCTCGGAAAATGTGCTTCGATATTGCATCCCATCTCGCGGAGGTCCGTGCTTTCGGCAGTAATTTTCCGATAGTCGAAGCAGTTAGAACGGCGTAGACACTTGGAAGCGACGGCCTTCGTAATTACTTGCGACCCATCCGAAAATCGCCTAATGCATCTCGAAGGACCGATGCATGTTCTCAAGCGGAAGGAATATTAATGCGAGACGCCATGTTGTAACGGCGTTTTTGATTCCTCAGTATTGCTAGATATACGTATAGAAATTTTGTTCTAGAATTTTGTACTAAATTTTGTACTAGAAATTTTTATATTTATTTTTTAAGGATTTAACACGCGGTACTTAAACTTTTTTTCTTAAATAAATTGAATTAACAAAGTTAACTTTATATGATTCTAACGTTCTTGCATTCTCCCTAATTTAATTTGTCAAATTATTACGCTTGATAAAGAATGATATTTATAATTAAGGATGACCTAAACTTTAGCTATAAATATTTGTCGTTAGACCGTTCCAAATATTTCGCAAACGTAATTTATATACACAGTGCTGTAGCAACTCGCGACGTAGCAACGCCATCTTTTTCGAGTAAACGAGTAAAATTCGGCGAACATGGTTTGTTTCATTAGTCTCGCAAGGAAAAATACATCATTTGTTGTTTTCGCAACAAAGCGTGTCGTACAAGCGAATCGTTGTATAATCTACGTTGTATAATAACGTTTTTTTTTAGGAAAATCACGATTTATGTCTAAAATAATCTGGCGAAAAATAAGTGAAACATATATAAATTCAAAAAAGTATATTTGTGATAAAGTGATAATTCGTTACACATAATTCATTTTCGTTATTTTGAAAAATATGACGTACATAGAAATGTAAACAAATAACATCTGATCATTTTATTACAATAAAAGGTTTTTGTAAGGTAAAAAATAAAAAAATCTAACTGATTCCAAACTATTACAAGTACATTTTAAGAACTCAGATATCATAATTAACTTGGTAAATTATGATATCTGAGATATACGAAACCATTAATGTCAAATATTAATTGTTGAAATAGATATTTGTTATTATTTATTGTTAATAAAATCATTTTATATTAATTTTAATATAAATATTTTTCAAAATACACTTATATTAAACTCAAATATTATTGATTTAATTCAACAGATATGTATTTTCGCACTTTCACAATTCATCAAGTTGTGAAATTAAACATAAATAATATTCAAATAAATCTAGATTCTAGAATACAAATAATTCCAGATGTTACATGCATTTAAATGAGAAAGTTCATATTTTTTATTTAAAAATAGAAATAAAAATATTCATAACTTATTGTATCTTAAAAGATTTATAATTTATAAATGTATATTTACAATACATCTATTATAATTATTTTTCATCTATATAATTTGCCAATTTATAGGAAAATTATCTCGCAAACCACCTTTCCAGTGCTTATACTTAGTGCTGCTATTTATATGCAAGAAAACTTAAAAATGGATTAAATAGAATGTAATTTTATACGAATTTATCTCATAAAAATTGGAAAATGTAATTAAAAAAATATATTGACAATATTTATTTATTATGCTGTACGCACGTAAATTCTAATTCTAATATTATTTCTACATCATTTTATATTGAAATACAATGCTTATAGAAAAAGGAATCTCTTCATTATCTCACTTATAAAATTCACTTCCAATACAAGATATTTTCCAATACAAGATATTTAAAAATCAAATATACATAATAAAACATGAAATGTGGAGGAAAGTCGCCATTAATTACATAAATCGTCAAAAAAGACATCTTCTTATTTTTTTGAAATTAAAGATTGCACTTTATTAATGATAAAAACTTGATCTATTGAAACGATTGAAGAAATAGAAACTAATAATTCACATATTTGTAATTTATTTTTATATAAAATCAGCGAAAAACAGATTTTCAAAAATAAAATTCCTATGATTTTCTTTTATAAATTGCATAATTTAAATAAAAGTGAATACATTATCGATAATATTAGGTTATTTTATATGTTTATAACTTCCTGAAACTATTTTATTTACATTTTTGTCTTTCTTAGTTTTCTTACAATGCAATTTTAAATATAAAATCAGAATATAGCGTAAACTGGCACTTAGCTAAAATAGATACTGTAAAGCATGGTTTTACATTTAACCTAATGTAACTTTTATGTTTGCACTAGTGTCACTTATGTCGTGTAAAACAGGAAAAAGGAAAATAAATATAGTTTATTAATTTATTTTATTATTAATTCCTTCGATACAAAGTCACATTTTATTTCTGGCATATTTGCCTACTAAATCAGTTTTTCAAATACTTGTTTTTAATTATTTTACGAAAAAAATTCACTAGAGAGTACAAAAAACTGCTATATTATCTAATAGAAAACACTTTCTAGTTTATATTTATGTTTTTAAAATTTTATATTCAGCTCTTAAGTTTGTTTAAGAAATGTAGTTCAAAAACAAAGTAATATCGACGACTTTTCTCTAATATCTGAAAATATAATTTGGGGTTGAATTGTATAAATATCAATGAAACATAATTATATATAACGAGAAGTGCTATTTTTTTATTCTTCATTACGAACCGTAATTTGAAATATAAAAACCCATATATTACTATATAAAAAGATTTTAAATAAATTATAATTTAGTGATTATTTTTTATATAAGAGATTTGACTTTTATTCGGGATATTTTTTTGAAAAACATTTTTTTTTAAAACTTAGATAAAAACATAAAAACTAGACACACACGCACACACACACGCATGCACGCACATACATACACGCACGCACACACACACACACACATACACACGCGCGCGCGCGAATATAGATATATACGATCTATATAACTGTCTATATAACGAAAGATTGAGAGCAAGAAATATACTTGCCACGAATTCTTGCGTGACAAGTATGCCTTCAATTCGTTTACCTCAATGTTCACGCATTAGCACGACGATGGAAGTTAACGACCCATTAATAAGATCACACATAAAATAAGATAGCTTTGAAGAAAATTTAAAAATGTAAAAAATAAAGTAGGAGTTTTCAGATTGTATTATTTATGATCTGTCACGAAGAACCGGAAATGGTCAACGTGCATTTATGTCAATATATTTATAATTCCATGCTAGTTTTTCAATGCAAACATGCAATTCATCTACATTTGCCACACTCTAATATTGTCTTTCTTCGCGATATGTATGCTGTATTAAAGGATTTCCTAAAATGACGATATGTTCTCGAAAAATATTCGATAAAATCGAATTACAAACAGGTATTATATGCATAATAGATCGACGAAAATATAATATAAATATGTATATGTTTCAGATGTTATTGCATACAATTTCACAACCCAACTTTTCATTTTTATTTTATTTTCGTAAACAGTATAAAAAATTTTTTTCGTTCTACCGGATATATGTATGTTCAAAGAAAAAATATATAAAAAGCAATATTGTTTTATTAACATAGCTAGGATGCAATAATTAGCGTATTCTATTAT